CACCACGTCTGATCACAGAGGTTCTCTGAACTTTTTCTCTGTTCAAGTCATTCCGAATTTCTCTTTGAAATTGAGGGTGAACAAACTCGTTTCAACTATTCATGGCTTTGTTTTGTATATATTATTCCCGATTGAACTGCTTTTGCTTCAAACTCGTGTACAGGAGATAGATTCGTTCTATGAGGCTGGTAGCGTCGTTGTCGATCTGGAGCTGAAGCGGTGGTACTATCGAGACTAACAAAACCAGGCGAGTGTTACACAGCATTGGCGTTGTGCACATCGATACGTCGATTTACCATCCAGGTGTGACTTCTTGTTTAATTTACAATGGTGGAAATAATACCCCTAACGGGTAGTCATCTGCCCTAAGCAGCCACAGTTGCAATACCTTGGCCTGGAAATTTCACCATTCATGCGGGTTTAATGCTCGCCAGCGACTACTCTCACGTCGGTTCTGAGAGGGGATAATGGATGAGTGATCAGCTGTTTTTCAGATAACTTGTTGCTACGATGCTAGCCAAGTGTTCCCTACGAAAGTGTAATAAGAAAAAAACTGAATAGACTCTATAATTTACAAACACCGACAGGTCTAATGTCCTGAATCGTTCCTGGTCGATTTTTGTTGAAGTATTTTATTCACAAAACACCGTCGTAACGTCATCGTAAGCTTACCGTGAGGACAGCCAAGTATTACCTAGGTACTGCATCACTTCAAATCCAACAGGTACAAAAAAATATCACTCAACTCACGTCTTCGAGTGTTTTTGCAGTCAACTACGAGCGCACGTTATTTGGGACAATCATCCCACTATCTTACATACTAAAAAGCGCTCCGTCTGTCGTTCTGTGTTCGTTCTGTCTGTCGTTCGTATGTCTGGCACGAAATTCCATAGCTCCTCGAGGGACCGGTCAAGTGTGGGACGGGGACAAGGTCTCACGAAGTACAAAACACACATCAGCTAAGCGAGGCCTGGTCTCCAACGTGGGAGTGGCTTGCATCGAAAATGAACTGCACCGACGACCAAGATCTCAGGGACAAAACAGCTCAGAACTGGACCAAAACTGGGTAAAGGTGTGGCCTTTGTAATATCATCGAAATTAGGGAGACCACACCTTGGGGGGGGGGGTGGGGCGTTTCTTCGAAAAGTGTGCTTTATGAAATTTCATAAGCCACAGAGCAGTAAAACAAATCGGTGTAGGGGAGCAATGTCACAAGTGCTCCCAGCATACACGACGTTTGCGGAAGTCCCCACACATTGGGCGAGAGCGCGCTCTGAAGTGTGCGGCGTTTTTCTACAATTTCTGCATAATTCGTGGCTGGAAAGTTTTAGTGAGGCCGGAAAAAGGTGGAGGTGGGAAGGAGCTGTAGGCCACTCTCATCGGTGGGCGGGGATGTCCAACAGTGGGGAATTTGCGACGGAAATTAATCACTCGATTCCAAGATGTTCTACGGAGACGCGAAAGCGAGGATAGAGGTGGTGAAGGAATGGAGCCCAACTGCTGTAGTGAGCGGACATTTCCGAAGATAGGCGATATACCACAAACTTTGTGACTCAGTGCAGGACAATGGTCTGGAGGAATGGGGAGAGAAGTAAGCGACGGCAAGATACAATTTCTAATGTTGTGTGGCTGGATACACCAAAAACAGATTCCACCATCAAAATTATAAATCGCACTCAGACATAATTCAGAGATCGGTAAAAGTGGAAGAGGTTGGCGAGGAAGAAAATGGTAGGTGTACATGAAAGATAGACGGAGTTTACCACGAGGTTCATAAATCGGTCCGGAGGCAGTCCGAAGCCAGGAAAAACGTATAATTAGTGACGATCACGAAAGATTGGTGGAGAAGGAGGGAAGCTCAAAAGCCATCGGTTGATGAAGCATGGGCAGTCGGATCTATTCAGCCTGAAAGTCAAGTATTTCGAAGTCCATTGAGCAAATTCGAAATCCACGTCGCACCATCCTACCAAGGTCAACGCGGATTGGACGATTTTCAAAATTTTTACAACCCCCCCCCCTCTTGGAGAGTCTCCATACGACCCTCCCGCACCTCATCTGTACTGCACACTGCCATGCTAAGAAAAAAGCTTAACACTAGATTGGTAATGTTTTAGCTTCCATTGCACGAAGGCGTATGAGTGTCCTTTCCTCAGTACCACTATCGTTTTTAATCGAAATCCTACTATTAGGTTGTCTCATAATTAGTGAATTACTTTGGATGTTTCTAAATTCAATATTTTTTTCTTTTTCATGTGAGTCTTTGCTCATCCTAACATAGACCCCTGTCCTGTCTTATCTTTAGAATTCCAGGATTGATCGGAGAAGATCGGAAGTCGAGTTTGAGGCCATGCGCTTAGCATAAAATTTCTTCCTGGTGAGGAGCGCTTAGAGGTCAGACTGATGAGCGCTGCCTCTGCTGGCACGAGTTAGGGCCACACAGAGGAAGTGAATGAACGGCTAGCCTGAGAGTCTCCAAGTTCTTATGAATATTCTCCGCAAGGTGGGGTCGAACAACCTCACAAGGGAAGGATGGTAGGTCGAAGTGGCCGTTTGAAATAGATGTTACCACCTGATGCCGTCTCCAGACGCTGATTCCATATCTGCCTTCTAAAACTGCTAAACGACTCTCACAACGGAGTTTTGAAGCGTAATAGCTCAGTGGTGCTGATCCGGGCTCTCTGGTAAAGCTCATAGGATCGTTCCTTTGCAGTTTTGTTTGCTTTGCTTTTGTCCCTAGAAGTGTTGCAACAAAAAGCAAAGCACAAACTCGCAAAGGAACCGAACTTACGAGCTTCAACTGGCCAGCCCGGACCATCACCACTGAGCTATTGTATTTCGCTTCATAACTTCGTTATGAAAATCGTTTAGCAGATTTGGAAGGGCAGATTTGAAATCAGCGTCTAGGAGACGCATCAGGTGGTATACACCATTTTGAACGGCCACTTCGACCTACCATCCTCTCTTGTCAGGAAAAAAAGCAGACTTTGTCTTGCTTTACTTTCAAATTGAATGCGATCCACATTACGCTGTAAGAGTTGATCTTCTATAGTGCCCTGTATAACTGGGCGGGCGGTCCCAGCGCATGGCACTCTCGTGCTCTCCCAACATCTCTGAGGGTCGGACTAAAAGGAGGTTTGGCTTTTGCTGTCAGAATTCCCGAATGTTCACGCTAGGCTACTGCTCCTTGGAGATTTGGCTAGTGCACTTCACCCAGTTCAGACCGTGGTGAATATGCTGGATGATCCACTGTAAGGAACTAAGGGAGATCGCAAGGAACATTATGGTGCAGATCGTGTGCGGACTGTCGGCTCAGAGCATCTAAGATACAAACTAAATATTTTGAAAATCTTTACAACTCTAACTTAGATGTTTACACCCATCATTTTAACAAGTCGGGCATGCTCTTGCAAACAGCTACTACTTTGTCCATATCCACGCTCAGTGGCGCTGGATACAGCAGTGAGATTGCAGTTGAGGGAGTTGAAGTGTGGGTCATCTTCAACTCAAAAAGCCAACCTCTCGATAGAGTGAATTACAAGTAGACCGCGGATTGAGGGAGCGTGCCCCCGCCTATCTGCTGGTCATTCTCTATGTTGTTGGGCATTTGAAGAATCCTAATCAGGAAGTGATTAAGAAGGGAGCACAAAAATAGGTTCCAGAAAATTGAAATGTCAGTCACGGAAGGCAGCACGGAAATGGCTGGTAATTGCTCAGGTGGAATAATATGGATGCTACTTCGCAAAAATGTTTCACGCCTTCACCAATTTTCTTGGATTTTCAATAACAATAATGTAAAGTGATTCACTAATTATGGGACAACCTATATATGCTTAGATACAGTCATAGACATAGAGCATAATAGAAAATCCGTTCAACGAGCTCTGGTACCGATTAATCCATTACGGGCCGCCGTTATGTGTGCAGCTCCATAAGTTCTTGTCACTTTTTTGTCAGTAACCAATAATTCAGCAGTAATTTCACCAGTATTCCAATAGAAGATATTTTTCACTGCTCGGAAAAGCTTACTGATCAAAATGTACATTGGAAAATGGCAATTAACACGTTGACGACATCGCATGTTTTGGCATTTTGCACCTCGTGGGACAGGAGCGATTTTGCGACGCTGGCGTCCTTACTTCCGCTTATTTCTTGTTAAAAATGCACAATAACTAGAATTTCATAGGACTATTTCGACAAGGATGACGTATAAAGGTTAACTGTATAAGTAGCAGTAGGTTTTTGTTCAGAAGAGTGCATAATGACCACAAGAGTAAAAACACGTTTTCGCTGCGAATGAAATTAAAAGCATTTGTATCTAAGTATTTCCATCACATGCAAATATATTGAAACTCACAGAGTTTTGTATTAACTAATTCTACAATCTTTCATATAAATGTTAACGACAGTGAAAGGAATACCAGGAAGAATTGAAATGAAGTTTTGTGCGTTCGGAAAATTTTGCTAAATCATAGATACTTGACCACTCTGGCTGCCAGGCGTTTATAATTATGCTAATGTATTATCTATAGAATGAATATCACAGAAAGAGAAGAAGGAGCGCAAGCACGATAAAAATGAATAACACAGACTTGACGCGCTTGCGCGTCAGGATGTCCGATGCGGTGGCGAATTACTTGACGCGCATGCGCGTCAACTTGTCGTCAACGTGTTAAAAATGAAGCACGCGTGATGGGTTAACTGGCAGTAGTGCGGAAAAGGTTTGCTGACCTAGATTAATGTCACCGAGTGGAGCTACAGTGTCTCTCAGCCACTACTCACACCTTTTCCAAGATGAGACGACCCTATGTTTGTTGTGGCCATTCCTAAACTAGTCCTTCTATTTCAACTTAGTCGCTTAACCCGCAGTGGCGTTCTACCCACTTTTTTTCATGATCACCTATTTCCTCCTTGAGTTCAAACATTGAAAACAATTCTTTTGCAGGCTTCCCACTCAAGCAAGTACTCTGTATGCCAATAACATATCAAAACTTCTCCTATACATGAGCGATAAAGATACATTCAAAGTGATATTTATCAGACGAGGTAGTTTTACTTATTCCCCATTTTGCCAATTCTTTCTTATAGTCCCTATTCTTAGTTACAACTGAACCAACTTGATTTTTTAAATTGCTACCTTTCCATTTTTTTCAGGTGGTGCGTGTGCAACAGTCCTGCACAATGGTCAGTTGATGTGGCCGCCACCAGTCACAGTTAACCTTCTCCGGCTAAAGTGAAGGTGATATTTTTTGCTTGTAACTGTATGGTTTGAAACCTTTTTTGCAGGTTTTTTCAGGATTTTCTTTTGTTTATAGTATTTGCAACTCCCACACTTTTTTCTTGTCGATCGAGTTTGCTCAAGTATCCTTCTTTGTTCTTTTTGATAGAGATTAGAAGTATTTATTTTATTTCTGAAGCTGGGTCATGAACTGAAAGAACAGCTCACTTTTATTCTTTGAAGGAGGTGACTGAGACGGCCGTCATAGTGGCTGAACCGACGCCATTTGCAAAAAACTGCTCGGAAAGCTGGACTCATAACAGCAGGTAGAAGTCATTAAGGAATCTTGCGCGGAAAAATCATGATTCTATTTCAGCCATAAATCACTGGCTTGAGACCCATTATCCACAATAGTAGTGAAAAGAACTGAAGTATTGCTTTCGTTTGATCAGAAATTCGAAAACTCGAAAAGGCTGCTACGCGTTTCGAATTGCCACGCACGTCTTTCACAAATGCTGCGACGGGATGCTCAAACTTGTTCTTGGAGTGCATTCACTAGAAGCTCTTTCTGGCCTTCTGCTTCGTTGCATTCACATCTTACCTTCTGCTCCATCCTATTCCATCGATCGATTTGTCTCCACTCTCCGAAATCGCGTGCTTTAACCCCGATTCTCTCATTGCGTCGCTGGTACGTAGCCGCCAAACGCCGTCTTCTTTCCATGCCTCGCCTGCTCTGCCTCCTGGTCCTTCGATGGTCCATAACGTGTAGTTTTTGTACGTTGATTTCTCTTTAGAAACCGAATCTTCATGCGTGAAACTTTGTGTGCTATTTCCAGGGTTCACAAATGACATATTCATGTTAGGCAAGAGTGCAAGAATTCTCCGCGCAAGATTCCTTTAATGAAGATTTCTCAATTTCCCTATAGGGCTTATTCATTCAGCATCTCTCCACAGTTCACTTAAGGCTCTGCTTTTATCTGAGACTTCTATGAGAGGACTAAGGCAAACGTTCTACTATTCAGGTCTGGGAGGTCTCCCTGTGCTGGGTGTGATCTCTCCGAACTTGGATTTCGCCGCGATGACCACGACATTTGCGTTGGCTGGAATAGTAGGTGAGAAAAGTTGTTCCTTTGTTTCTCTTTCTTTGATATTCATTAAGTAGAAAATTATTGCGATGCTCTTCATTTATCTTAGCAATTCCCATACATCATTTATTTATTGTCACGTTCATTACGTTTTATTTCTCATGAGATTTTTCCCATGACAGCTGTTTCACAGTACAAAGTTAATTAAGCAGACCGAGCTCACTAGTTTACTTAGACTATTTTGTTGAATCTGCTCCACCAGGAGTTATCTAAAACCAAAGGTTTCTGCTTCTTTAAGCACTGATCTAGCCATAGGTTCAGGCCTAATTATTCTTTGCTGACACATTACAGCCCGTGTGCATCGCGGGGTGTGCACATCGGGATTCCAAATTCGACTTTTGTGCATTGCCGGTTATGTACTTCAGCTTTATGCTCTCTTCCAAAGATTTTCGGTACTGTTGTGACCATACACGTTTTATCAGTCTCATGAGTTTAAGGCGAAGTCCGTGATCTTATTGGTGTGTCACTGCGCTTGCATGTGACAGTGGAGATGTGAAGTGTAACGCAGTGGAAAAGACGTGAAGAAACCGTCGACAAGGCTGGCAATACACTAAAGCTCTCCATTATCTGCAAACACAGCACTGACTTGTAGGCGTTCTCAATGTTGTTGGGCGGGGCCAATGCTGCATCCTAAGCCCGTACAAGGGAGATCGTTCAGGGTGTACCAAGCATTCCCAAAACGGTCTTCTGCATGATGTAGGGGTACATGGGAACCACAGAACCATGGTTAATTTTTCCTGAACAGCTCGAATTCCAGAAAGGGGGTCTCTAGTCACACATTTTCGCCACTTTTTCGATCAAAGTTTGTGAGGGTTTGATGGTCCTAATCATGAATATGGTACTAATTATTCGTGCTAATTCCATTTTACGCTAGTTTTAAAACGTGAACTCGGAATGCAAAAATTTGTCACCACGAGGAGTCGAACCACGGACCCCTTTTCTGGTGTTCAGAGGGCCGCTCAGGAAAAATGCACCATGCTTCTTTGGTCCCCAATGTCATGCAAGAAACCACTTCGAAAAAGCTTGGCACACCCCTAAAGGACCTTCCTTGTTAGCGCGTTGGCCTTTTTATGTCATCCCCGAAACTTGTGTATGTGCTTTTCACTTGTGTGCCGCTGCACTTTTCTCGAGGAAAAACTTAGTTTCGACCAGAATCTCGGACCTTGCTTTTGAATGAAATTTGAAGCTACATAACTAATATCCTAGTTTTGAACATTAATACCACTTAATAGGAAGTACTGGCACCAACCAAGTATATAAATAGTTTTTTTGGACGTAAACAAAGCAACAATCAGGCAAGAATTAAGGTAAAAAAAAACTAAGTCAAGAAATGTAAAGGGACAAGCGGGCGCAGGCCGCGGAATCTACCACGTTATTCTTCTGTATTTCAATCCATAATACGTTTGAACCTTGAAACACCAATAAGGGTTACAATATTGAAGGTCGATCTTATACAAAACAAGCAGAGCGTATAGTGTAAATGACGAGCGATAACCGCCAACAGGCCGTTTGCTGGAGCGCTCACATTTTGCGGATAGCACAAGTGATCTGTGATCCAGAGAAGAGCAGCTCCAGAAACAGGAAACACTAAATGTCTATTTTTACGCGCAGGGCGCAACAAGTTTGCTGTGCTCGAAGATGGGTTTACTGGTCTGTCTCGGTGTATTGGTGTTGTTTATTGATCTGCGTCGCTCCCTGTTTTTCCTACACCAGGCGTTAACTAGGCTGCGGCACTACATTGGAGTAGGGTAGCGTCTTCTGCTAGCATTTATACTCGCATTTCAAGGATACCATACCGTATGGGAAGTAACGCCGGCTCTCCATTCTCCGTTGATGTCAGTGACTAATGCGATCTCGGGAACCACTGCCGCTGGAGCACTCTGCCTGATGGGAGGTACGTGATTTTATGATGAGGATCTTGCAATGGAAGAATTCTTCAAAAAAAAAGTGAAGGCCTTTGTAGATTCTGAATGTTTATTGGTAGTCTTGCTGATTACTGATTTCAGGTGGGCTACTGCCATCAAACGCCGCCCAGTCACTTGCCCTAGGGGCTGCTTTCATTTCTTCAATCAATATTGGCGGAGGATTTCTGATAACAAAGCGAATGCTGGATATGTTCAAACGACAAGGTGGCCACACTATCTTCTTCACTAACTGAGCCTACTGTGATTGGTGATTTTCATTCCGAAATCATGTGCGCTCTAATAGAAACCTATAGCCCTTACAAAGGCTTTCAGCTACTCAGATGTTGAAAGCATTGCTCTTCTTCAATCCTTCGGACAAGTCTTCTTATGAAGTTAGACTTATCGTCACAGCACACCAACTGAATCACTGGAAAAGCATTGAGCAAAGTCCAGGCACTCCTTCTTCTCTCCATAGCGTTAGTCTCGCGCAGTCGCAGGGTCCGCTACTTTTGTCATTCGTCGCTACTTTGCTCTATCCAGAGCATCTCTGCTGCACCTCCGATTGCAGAGGATTCCAGTGGAGTTCCCCCACTTCATCTAGGCCGCATTGATTCGCACCTTCATCGCTTGATCTACACTACCATACCAGATCGTTTCTAAGGGAACGGAAGTCCTCCACCCTTTCGATGGTCTCACCATAACCGTCTGCGATCGGTTCCGTTTCCTGTTCCGAGCTCAGGAACTTGGTCTTCTTGACATTCAGCCGAAGCCCGCTTTCTGCCTGGACTTTCTGCCATTTCTGCATTGGCTTGAGGTTCCTCTCTGCTATTCGCTATCAAGGCAACGCCGTCAGCGTAGAGGATTCTCTTAAATGGTCCCTCCATGAGCCCTTTCACCAGGACATGTATTGTCAGGAGGAAGAGGAAGGGACTTAGAGCTGTTCCTTGGTGCACCCGACCGTGATGTTCACCTACTTCGTTAGGCCGTGAGGGGTGCGTTTGGCTGCTCTCGCTCCTTCGTACACACCGGAGAGACCAAGTGTTCTGGCACCTCCCATTTTGCGTTCTGCGAGCTGTACAACGCGTCAGAAGCAAGCTTATCCAACGATTGTGCATCAGTTACGCGCCTACGATACACTGTTTACTTGTGTGGAGTTTCGTCGTGTTCATTCCAAATTGCTTTTCTGTGTCACAATTGCTTTATGATCAGTGGTTTTAATGGTGCACCCTGTGAACATAGCGTTTATCATGTTTTTTTTTCTCAAGAGGAAGTATTGTGGACATGAACCACCTCTTCATTATTGTTGTTTTTCAAAAGTCATGTTGTTTTTTTTTGATCCCGAACCGAAAATGCATTTTTCAACTCAACAAAACATTTTTAACTCAAAAAAAAGAGCTAGAATCTGTAAACTCTGCAGATGAAATACGGGATCGCTTAGTTAGGTTATAATGTCAGGGGCTCTGAAGGTGTTGAACTTGGCGAAGGTTGTCTTAGCATCATGTTCGATTTCGTAGTATTTCTCATAAAGCCACGAGTCAGGATTAGGTGGTCATAGGTCCTCCATCACTACTATCGCCAGGACAACTCTCAGAGGGGTGACGCCACGCTTCTGACTCGAGATTGTGCGGCGACAAGGCCTCTGGTCTACTACTTACAGCGATGGCTTCGTTGCATGAGCTAGGCCCGCCCACTGCAAGATGTGGTGCGTGACTGGCATAACGTGTGAATTTAGCTAGGTTGATTGCCGTATCAACCGTTGTAACGGATGGCATATCTGGAAAACTCGCTTGGACGTGGCTCTCTCCCAAGCTAGCCTCCTTCGCTGTTTTTGGGAGCGGGAGTTTCGTTTTCGGCCTTGTCGATGCTTTCTTTTCGTTTTTTTTTCTCCGGTCATCTCTCCATGCATGGTTACAGTCGCCATAGTACCCCATATTGAGCCCGACTTTTGCCTTCAAGGAGAGCTATCGAGTTCCTCGAATGTGACAGGTAGGCAAGAGGTCTGCTGAGCATAATATTTGCAGCCTTAAACCGTAAGTCAGCTTGTACAAATTGTGAGGGTTGGTAGTGCGGTGTCAGAGCCACTTGACGGGGATGAGTCGTTGTCGTATGGTAATTAATATTCGGCAAATATGTTGAAGGTTTTGGTGTACATATAGATTCTGCCGGAATTACTTCACGCTAAAACAGTTACTTTTAGTTCAGAAGGGCTAAGCCAGTCGCTGACCTCACGAAAGTTACCATAATTTTTTTCGAGTGCAGCTTGAAAGTTTGGGTTCATTGTGATTGATCCAGCAAGTTCCGTAGGCTGTGACAAAGAATCTGCTCTGCATCCTGTTCATCTAATCAGTAGTAAAGCTGGTCGTTCTCATTGTGTGAGACAACATAGAAAACGCGAGCAACAAAATTAATTGTACGCTTCCATTGATTTTTTTGACTTTTCGCTCTTTCCATACAACTGGAAATCAGAAAAGTCAAGTCTATTTTTTGACAATGTTTAGTATCCACCTACCACACCTATCATCTTCAAAGCTTTCGCTATCGTTACAAGAACTTTTCAGCAACTCCTTTAGAGCATATGACTTGCAAATTTGAATAAGTATGCCGCACTCAAAGCTTTGCGAAAGTGAGACAAAGTTTTTCAGAACAACGGTGACCGAGCTATTTGATGGGGCAGGGAATGCTTTTTAAAGTTGTACTTCGAATGCTCTATTACGTTACTTGAAGTTGAAACGTAATAAGCATCCAAAAGTGATATGTAGGGAAACGACAGGACTTTTTCAAAAATTTAGTATTTGCTATTATTTCAGGTGATCCACCGGAATACAATTACATGTACGCTGTGCCGGCTGCACTGTTTCTCGGTGGATATTACTACGGTCTGAAATCGGTATGCGAATAATGACGCGTTGCCAGTAATTCATAGTTACGACAAATAAGGAACATGTCAGAACTTGAATCCATCAACCTATAATTGTTAATTAGAACGGATGTTCAACTAATGCGTGGTCTGCCCTCTTCCGATATTGGATGGTTGACGTTTCTCTTACAGAAAGGCCTCGATCTCACCTGAGCGATCAGAGTTCCATCTCCGCTCGTCTGCTGTAGCATGGGGAGTCAACAATTGAGCGAGACGCTGGTTTCCACTTACCAAGGAACTGTTTATTTCTCAATCATAGGAGTGCGTGCTTGAAGCTCAGCTATCATCTAGGCTACTTATCAGGAGCTGTCGATATGTTAAAGAGAACCACGGTACTACTCACCCTCAATATATGTATGTGTCGTTTTCGCGATGAAAAGGTCCATGCTCATCACCAACCATCTGAGATATCCTTGTTTGCTTAGATGTAGGTCGAGATACAGTTCTTTGTTCCCTTATGCTCTAGCACCTCCCCATCTCCTTCAGGGGTTGAACACCTGTACTTTCCCCCATACGTCAGACGATGTATCATGCGAGTGAGCTATGCGATAATGTGATTTGAGTGGTGGATCTTGTACAGCAACTGCTACGAAAGGTGCCGATCCCTCAACTCAGGGCAACTGGAACCACTTCACACGCCTGAGTACTGGTCTGTGTTGCTGATGGAAGTGGATGGTGTCATTTAGTGAGGCTCCTGCTACGTGATAGACTCACTTCTAAAGATTACGGTGAAGATTATCTTGAGAAAGGCGAAATAAAGTTTTCCTCGTTCATGGCAACGCTGGTCCCTACACTTCGGACGTGACTCGGTCGAACCTTATAGTCTGAGCCATGGACCATTCTGCCACAGTTAATATAAGGTGCATCAAACGTCGTCCAACCGTCATCCACTTCGAAGAATCATCTGATACATTGTTTTTACGCTGACAGCGATGACCTCACAGCAAGCCTTCGGTCCTTCAACAGTGACCCGACAATCGCTTCAACAAGGAATGCGTAGTCAATTGCGAAAATTTCCTCGTTTATTGAAGGTAATGGTTTAAATATGGTATCCACTCGCTAATCAAAAAGCATAACAGGTTCAACATGTCCAAAATAATCTGAAAATACCTTATCAAAATTAGTAGAGTTCCAATAAATCACTTGTCATCGTCAGGGTGCGCCATGCGCTCATTCACTCGCGTACCTTGGCTCATCGCTTTGTTGTGTTGGTGCGTTAGCAGGACTATCAAGCCAGAAAACGGCCCGAGTTGGTAACGCATTAGGTATGTTCACATTTTATAGATAATTTATTTATGTCACGGCCAAAGGGATCTCGTTGTTGAATAAACAATCACAGCACTTCTCTCCCTTTAGAAGTTGAACGATTATCTGGTAGAATACCTCACAAGTCTTCTCTCCTCCGATTATTATGGGCAGCAAAGACCGCAAATTACCAAAATAGTCTCGAAAGTTCGGCCTTAACGTGATCGCTGGAAAAGCTGGAACAAATAAATAGTAAAATGGCTTTTGTAGTCTACTTAATTTGAAACGTCCTACAAAATCTGCGAAAACTGATGAGACCTAAGTATAGGAACGAAGAAAGCGGAGGAGATTGGTCGGGGTAAACGGTCAGAGTGAATAACCCGTAAGAACGAACAACATACAGTCCATATCCGACCGGTTGAGGGGGAGGTCTCGCGGACGTACCAGCGCTGCGGCCGAGACAACGCGGGAGTGAAGTTTGCCCTCTCCCAGTGGTATGGTGTCTGAGCAATCCGTCTTGCCGTCTGCACTCTTTCGCATGCACGCTGTCTCCACAGTATGACGCAGCTTTCCCTTCTACGCTCTCGCCACTTTCCCGTCGCCACGCCTGCCCATCAATCGAAATTTATCAGCTGTTTTGAGCAGAATTCAACTAGATTCTGCTAATACTGCTAATTGCACGCTTCTATTTTACAAGTTAGTATCTTTTAAACATGTTAATTTGCTTCTGCATGTTTTCTGATTGATTCTATGTCAGCCATCACCCCATTAGGATCATTATGCCTGATTTGTGCTCTTATTTATTATTATCTTTTTTGATTTAATTGTTCTCATATTTGGTGTCTTTGATGGTTTTCATTATTGTTGGAAGACATTCTGTCATGAAGAACGAGTCAAATCGAAAAAGAAAAGAATGAAAATAAACAAACAAGCATAATTGCTGCTAATGGAGACAATGCTTGACATAAAAATCATTCAGAAACATGCAAAAGCACATTACATATTTGAGACTTACTTACCTGTGAGAAAGAAGCGTGAATTAGAACATCCAGCAGAGTTTATTTGAATTCAACCCAAACGGCTGATAATTTCGATTGATCGACAAGGTGCGTGAGCGCAGAAGGAAAGGCTGCGTCATACTGTTGAGATAGCGTGCATGCGGAGAGATGAGACGGCGACACGGATATAGACACCACCAATCACAGGTAGAGGGCAACTTCGTCGCGTTGTCGCGGCGCTGCGTCGGTAAGTCCGCAAGAGTTTCCCTTCAACTCGGCGTATATGGACAGTGTTTGACATTGGGTAATCCATAATTCCTGGCCCGAATTTTTTCAGAATCAATTTTCTTTCCATGCCGTCTTCTTTCCATGCCTCGCCTAGCTCTGCCTCCTGGTCCTTCGATGGCATGACGTGTAGTTTTTGTACTTTTGTTTCTCTTCAGAAACCGAACCTTCATGCGTGAAACTTTGTGTGCTATTTCCAGTGATCACAACTGACATATTCATGTTAGGAAAGAGTGCAAGAATTTTCCGCGCAAGATTCCTTTAAACTAGGATGTTCCAGAAGGTCAAAGGTCAGCGGATAAGTAAGTAGGGATCGAAATGGATCAACGACCAAAGCAGGCGATCATGCTTAACGAATATTTAAAGCCACGAGTCAGGATTAGGCAATTAGCAGAAGTTTTACCCACGGTGCGATGGTGGCTCCCCAGCACTGAGGGCGCGACACTATCGCGACTCGAAAGTGCGCAGCAATGGCGCTAAGGCCTTGCCCGCCGCGCTGCCCACGCTGCCAGCGTGATCCACCACGGCATACGTGGTCTCTGCGTCCTCTCGCGTACGACATACTATCTCGCGTTCTCCATCTCCTCGCAGCGCTGTGTTTCTCCGTCGTACTACGGTCGGCCTTCTAAGGGAAATTTAGTGTTTTCTATGGTGCTTTTTGCTTTTTCTCCTCACCAATGTTCCTCAGTGCACCCTTTGCCTAATGTTTGAACAAAATAAAGCATCAATTTAATCCCGACTCGTGGCTTCAAAGAAGAACCTTGCAAGGAGTGCAGTAAGCAAGACCAGCGCCTTAGTCTTTGCTACTGATCGGGCACTGGGCTTGAAAGCTTCGGCAAAGGCGATACAAGCTGCAAAGTTTGACCTCATCCTGGGCCCCCAGTCACTTCCGATGAGGATCCATTGTGCTGTGAATCGGAAGTTCACCCGGACGCTACCACCTGAGATTTGTAGCAGATACCTGGGCGCAGCCGATGCACCACCGCAAGCTGTCTGAATGAAACGGGCTGTAGCAGAATGAAGTTTCGATGGGAAGGGAATGCATCTCTGACCATGACCGAGAAGCTGACTTGTCCATCTGCAGAAATTTCATTCTGCGCAGGCATAGCCTGGACTTTCCCTTGTCAGTCACCAGTGGAGATGTGTCATGAGTCCACTACGACAACAACACGCGGCACGCCTTATGACTATCCCGCAGCCTGAACCCACCACCTCACCCAAAACCCGACCTCTTTCGCCAGAGAATATTACCCCCATTTGTAGGATATCCCACTTTGAGAACCGCTTCATCTTGTATGGGCAACCACTGCGGAGATAACTGTGGGCCGCAGCAGTGCGACCAACCTCGGGAATTATTCCATAGTTATCCGTGTGCGAGAGAAACATTCGAAACGTCTCAAAATGTCCTTCCTCCGAATGAACGCCTGACCTTACATTGCGAAGATAACTCGCCACCTTCTGAGGGAAACTGGCTGGATTGCGATACCACATCTATCGTATAGCCCTAACATTTCTTCATCGCACTATCCCCTTCTCGATGCCCTGAAGCAGTACCTTCGAGAGAAGGGGGTCACTGAATACAACCACCCAAAAAAGACCTCTCCGGACTCTTCATTCCATAGCTCCACTCGTTTTGAGAGGAATGCATCCATTCGCTGCCTAGCAAATGAATGCATATCAGCGATTGCGGTGGTGGTTATATTGTTGATCAGTTATTCTCCAGGAAGAAAAACCAATGAAATGAAAATGTCGAAATTCGGCCAGAAATTGTGGTTCACCCCAATAGTTTCCCATTGGTAAGCTCTTTTTCTAATGCAAAAGTGGATCGGATTGGCACCTTTCCTTTTCAGGTATGACCGGCGTAGCTGGTGGCCTAGCGGCTACTCTGGGGATTTTGAGCCCTGATCACGACACACTTGTTCAAATGGGAAGTGCCGTCGGATTGGGTTCGCTCATTGGACTTGGTATCGCTCAAAGAATAAAGGTGACCGAATTTTCTTGCTGACACTTCTCAGACGGGAGCCAGAATTGTTGTCAGCCTGTTCGTTCGAGAACGAGATTAGAAAGTCTTTCGACTAGCCGTACCCAAACTAGTGTACTGAACAAGAATAATGGCAAGCATAAAAGGGTTAATATGCATGATTTTCTTTGGGAATTTCTCCGGCTTTTCAAAAATTTTCTAATCCATTTAAATGGAGTTTGAACTCCAAATATTTCGCATATTGTAGCTCAAGAGAAGATGATGATTAGAGCGGTTTCGATGACGTCACTTGGTGACATAGACTGACCGGCACTTCAGTGTGTTGTGAGTGGGGGGGGGGGCAATGCATTTAGCTGGTATCATCTCTAAACGTGCTTCTGTCAACCAAGTTCAGTAACGTCGTCTTGAAAACCGATCCGCCTTGGCTGCCGGGTTCGCTGCCTCTAATGCCCTCACAGAGCTGCCGCTCGAACCACACAATACAAAGATTTTGAAGCCCTCTTTGCGAACACGATCTTTTGACAGTTAGCTCAAGTTCTCTTACCCTGAGATGAGCTTTCAGCAACTTAAACGTGACTGGCTGACATATCAGAGCTCTACCATCAAACTCCCGACAAAAGATTTATTTCAGACCCTCTACTAATTACTCTCTAATTCCCAGGTGTCGGATCTGCCTCAATTAGTAGCTGCGTTCCATTCATTCGTAGGATTGGCTGCAACCATGACATGTTTAGCTGACTTCATTGTAGAACATCCGCACTTCCTTACTGATCCAAGTGGTGAGCTACTAAAGTTTAGTTACTGCATGTATAGCTCTTGCGTTGTTTATTTACTGCATTGAGTCACTTTGTATTTATTGTTGAGACAATTAAGCTTGTGGTGCTGCCAAGATGTCATTGTTTCTTGGAGCATATATTGGTGGTGTCACCTTTACCGGTAGTCTGATGGCGTACGGGAAACTCCAAGGTATGTTAATTTAGGATTAGTTCTTAGTTTCTGATGTTTCTTATAAAGCATTATTTGAATCCTGAAGATTGTAGGTATTCTTGGCTCGGCGGCCACCTATCTTCCTGGTCGTCATGCAATCAATTCGGGATTATTGGCTGGAAATATTGGTGCACTGGGTCTCTACATGGCAACTGACGACTTTGCTACTGGTCTCGGCATGCTGGGAACGACGGCTGGTCTCAGCAGTCTGATGGGGGTGACACTGACGATGGCCATTGGAGGTAGAGCATCTTTTTCAAATGAGCGCTGCATGGAACATTGCAATACAATGCCTACATTTTTGTCATGCTGGCAGTTCAGTAGGAAATAACTTTTTCACCCCTTAAGCATATGTCCAACATAAGATGTTTGGCAGTAACAAACATCGATGAGCTTATGGAAATAGGGGAGGATTTTGAAGATTCTCTATCATAGCTTGTGTTCTTCTCACAGAATAGTCGGCTGCCAATTGTGCTAGCTGTGAAAGACGGAGAGCTCGGCAGGCCTATTCCGCTCACCGGACCACGGATCAGGGTCGGTCCTATCGTTGGGACTTTTGGCAAAATTTTTACGCCCCCTCCCCCCCCCCCCCTCCTTCACGACAGATTTCATACGACCCCTTCTTCACCACTTTTTTCCTCGAAAAAACCGTCGATCGGGGGGTATATAGCTACCACGAAACCGCAAACCTTTCTTCTATTCCCCTTTACTTTTCCCTCATTCTTCCCTCATTTTCACTCTATTTTACCTGTTTTTCCCTACATTTCCACCAGAACATTTTCTAGGGGGGTATATACGCACGCTGAAACAGCAAATTTTCTCCCGCCCGCTCTCACTTCATCACATGTAATTTACAAGTTCGACCCACCTCCCCCAACGGGGTGTAATAGCCCATCTTCCCATTAAGATTATTGCATCGGAAGAAATTTTTACGTTTTTCACAGCGATGCTACCTATCGTGCAAGCGCACGAAAGTTTCCCAGAGGTAGGCGAGAAGAATTCCTAGCACTCAAGAGTGGATGAAATGCTAGCCGTAGTTTGTGGCCAGCTACATAATTGTTGACCATCCTGTGCTCTCTCATTCAACAGGTGCTGTGATAGTGATACTGAGCATTTATCCAGTTGACTAGGTGATTCATTGCATTGATTCATTGAAGGAGCTGACATGCCCGTTGTGATAACTGTGCTGAACAGCTATTCCGGATGGGCTCTGTGTGCCGAAGGGTTCATGCTAAACAACGATTTGCTCACAATTGTCGGTGCTTTGATAGGGAGTTCTGGAGCCATTCTTTCTTATATAATGTGTAGGGTGAGTGCTATTGTATATGGAAATATTTCTCATTACGCTATCACTGTTGTTCACGTTGGTTAAGGCAATGAATCGCTCTCTGATTAGCGTCATTCTCGGAGGGGTTGGAACGAAATCTCAGGGAACTGGCAAAGCGAAAGCCATCGAAGGCACGGCTACAGAAACGAATGTTGCTGAGGTGATTTAGATTTAGCTTTTCTCAAGATCACCGTTATATGTGAGTAGGGTCGTAGATCTGTGGTCTGAACTTGGGCTGATTGAAGGTGGTGGTACGTAATTTGAGTGCTGAAGAAAGGCGCGCTGCAAAGGGACCTTACTAATGAGGACCTGTTCGCTGTTTGGCTGCTAAGCAAAAGAGAAAAGGTCATTGCATTGAACAGAGCGCCTACAGGGTCACCACGGGTCGCTTAACTAGGTGAGCCGTGCCGACCCTGCAGGCGCTCCGTTCTATGCAAAAACTTCGGTTGGGACGTTTGTGGCGCCACTCTTCATAGGATACCCGGGTAACTAGGCCTGTGGTTGCTGGTACGGTTTGCCGGATGTGGCGAGAGAGAGCAGGAAGATAGAACAGGGTGTTCACATTGGTGATGTCGTCCATTGTGAACGTCTTCTAGCGCGCAGATCGACGCTCAAGATAGGGACTCACTTTGCGAGTTTCAGACTGTTTCTCTGAGAAGTTTGCTTCAAAATTCCAAAGGTTCTTATTCGCCACAGCATCACCCACTCCGTAGTCCTTAATGTCCATTGGCGTCAATTTTATCATACTATCTGCCCTAATCAAATTAGGGTAAACCCATTTGATGTCTTACGTTCACACGTCCTTATAAATAGAATTATAAAAGAGCGATGAGCTATTGTGCATGTTCTAGACGGTCGACTGGCTCTTGAATGCACAGTCTGTGATCATTGTGCCGGGGTACGGTTTGTGTGCTGCCCAAGCACAGTATCCGATTGCTCAGCTTGCCAAGGAACTAAGCGATCGTGGAATCCGAGTGCGATTTGCTGTCCATCCTGTTGCCGGTTCGTTCTGCCGCTCTTTGGTGCTTGTCGCATGAATGCTCGGAAGGCACTAGTATTCGCAGTGTTTCAGGACGGATGCCCGGACAGTTGAATGTGCTGCTCGCAGAAGCTGGTGTTCCGTACGATATTGTCGAGGAAATGGATGAAATCAATGACGATTTCGACTCTACCGATGTGGCCTTAGTCATTGGTAGGCTTGGAAATTGCTTTTTTCTAAGGCTTTAAAAAACGCGATTGGAATGACATATCAGTCGTTTAAAAGTAAAAGTTGATCGCTGGCGGCCACAGAGTTTCGATTCACGGAGGTGAGAAATTGGGAGATGTGCTTATCTTGACGTCGCTTCATCGAGATGAACGGTGATCAAAGCCCTAATTTTGCGTAACAATGGCAACACTGAGATGTGGCCGTCCTTTTGGAATCTGTGCGATTAGTGATGGCGTGCTCAACACAGTGATCACCAAAGTTAACACGTTGACGACAGGCTGACGCGCAAGCGCGTCAGACGTTTTGCACCGCATTGGACATTCTGACGCGCATGCACCACAACATCTTGGTACCCAATTTCCCGCGCATATCCGACTTCATCCGAAATTTTTTATCACTGTTATATAGACAGTGCATCATCATGCCTGTAAACGGTTTGGTCCATGAAGCGGTCGAATATGCTTTAGTTATGCGAAGGTTTGCTGAACCTGAGACCTAGACATATCGATAGAGTCTTGAACGCTGATCACAAATGTGGACACTAAAACTGCTACGTGAACATTCTAAGAAATTTATGAGCCTTCAAAGTTCGCAAAAAACGTTGCTTAGGCGGGCTCACCTGATGGAGTCACGGTCGCCGTGGCTCTGCAACAAAACGAGTCTCAAATTCGTAATCAGGGCACCCATCAACCTTCATAGAACAAGAAACCAGGCAAGAAGCAATCGTGATTTCACCAGGTAAGCTTGCCTCAGTAACGTTTTTGCCAACTTTGAAGGTTCATAACTTTCTTAGGATGTGGGGGCAGTTTTAGTATCCAAAATTGTAATCAGCGTCCAAGGCTCTATCGATGCGCGTAGGTCTCCTTTCAAAGTTCCATGGGAAGTTTCGTTCGAAGCATTTACTAGTTAGTTTTACCGTTGACTTCTATTTTGGGGACAAGCATAACAACAAAATGTAAATGCAAATAACAAGGTGATACATAATGTCAAGAGAATACTGTTTTGTTGACTTGTTCTTCACTGAAGCAGTCTGTACGAGGAAATTTTCCACATCTTTCGCAGCGCGTTTTAACCAATTACGTTTTTTGGGGCCGCGAAGAGATTCTTGCTCTTTAGCCATAGCTGCATAATGTTCAACACACTTTGTATTGTTGATTCCTTTTTAACCTTTGCTTACTTGCTCTGACATCTGTCACGAGGGAAGCAACTGGATTGAGGAGTATTCACGCTTAACGTTCAGCAGTGATTCGACCACTTTCTCAAAGTCATTTATCTGAAAAGATAGTGTGAAATGTACATTCCACCTTTCCACGCATGTCATTCGAATCTCCCGACCCTCCTCGCTCCCCATCCCCCGAGGTGGCTATACTCCCCAAGACTCATTGATTCTTTATTCATTGGCGTCATCACTAGTATTTTGCTGAAAGGGTAGAGACAAGTAGCATGCGTCCTCTCCCCTCAATAGCGTTGTACCTTTGTTTTGCCACTTTTCAGTTTTGAGTTCGAAAAACCCACGTCGTGGGACAAGCTGACGCGCTGGCACGTCAGGCAAATCGCGTCCGCCAAAGTGCCTGTGTCCCATGCGGCGGAAAAAGCCAAAACATGCGCTGTCGTCAACGTGTTAAAGGTGGAATATGTTGTCTTCCACCTTTTGATTCAACGGTATTCTGTTTCAGGCGCAAATGATACGGTGAACTCAGCTGCTGAAGACGATCCGAACAGTTCGATTGCTGGGATGCCTGTATTGCGAGTTTGGCGCTCGAAGAAGGTATTTATTTCCTACTTCGTAATTCCACTCCTTTTAAGTGAGTGGAAGCTGAATTCTGGTAACATCGTGGACTAGGTGTTCCATGTGACTGAAGGAGCCACGAATGATTTATCCACTCGTGCGTGTGGCCATCATGATGTACGTATGTAGCAGCACGATCTCTGATGTTCACCTACCCTGCTTAGAACACGTCTCGTGAAGGAAATCCCACCATTTTCGGAAAAAAATTTGATGTTCTCAGGTAGTGATGATGAAACGAACGCTGGGAGTGGGCTATGCCGCAGTCGACAACCCGGTGTTCTTCAACGAGAACACGGCGATGCTGCTGGGAGACGCGAAAAAGATGTGCGATCAACTTCTGGCCACGGTGGAGACTGCACCGCACTAGCCGGCTGAGCAGTCCGATCGGCTTTCGCAGTCTTGGACGGATAGGACTCTTTCTAGTTGCTAATCATATCCGATTGCATTCTCACTCATGATTTTTTCACTTTTTGGTGTGATGTCGTCTATTTTACTTTTGGTATTTTTTGCCTGGTGGTTGATCAGGAACAAGTAGTGTTCAACCGGATATCTTAGTCGGGTGTCGAGAAAGTGCTTTTCTGTGGGATGCATATTTATGTTCAGATTCAGAGAATTTATTGAGAGTATAAATTTTTATCGATATGGTTTTGATTACTTGTGAATCATATAAAACGAGTATGCGTTTGCCCTATGTCTGGAAAAATATTCACTAGGAGCGTAATCATATGTTTTTCACTGCATTTTTCTTCATACGATTTCTATTTGAGCAAAAAACGATTTGAAGGGATGTGCAGTGACTGAATATGCTAACTGGTTTTTTGTGGTCAGAGCACAAAACAAGTACAGAAGTAATAATCCAAGCACAGAAGATGGAAGGCAATGAGACATTACGTCTGGCCATATCACATATCGGCAAGGTAATCGTGGAACATTCCATGTTGGCTTCAGTAGTGAGAGGGAACCTCAGAAACGTCCTCGAATCTCCATTCTCCAAACGAACGCCCGACCCCACATTGCAATGCCAACTCGCCACGTTTTGAGGGAGACAGGCAGGACCATTATTCCAAAAAGCTCCCAAAGGTTTCTAGGGTGGAAAGCTTCCAACGGCTCCTTTGCAGATGCATGAATATCAGCGAGCGACCGTAACGGGGGTTCTGCTTTTAATCAGTTGTCTCCTAGGGGAGCTAAAGCGCGATAGCAAAAGTGTTAAACTTTGGACAAGAATTATCAGACAACCCAATACCGTAGGTCAAATCTCCTAATTTTTTCCTTGAAATTTCTTCCTGATCATGGAAAATCAATTCAGGTTTTCATGGGACATGATCGCTTCTGACGTGAGCTTTAAACTAAACTTCCCCATAAGTTGTGTCGCTTTTTAAATTGATTTTTTTCACGAGATTTCCACGATTCACATCATCATGAACCATTCAAAAGGATTTTTTCTCTTTAAAAATTATATGTGTCGCTTTCACATTCGTTGTTCACGCAGCGGATCTTTTTGCGAAATGGGAGGTCTGCGAAAATTAAGCAAAACAACTGGCTCTAACTCATTTTCCACTGAGAGAAACCGATGAAAAATGCACTGTTTGCTTGATCGCGACATTTTCTATACATTTTGCTACTGGGTTGGTCAACAAGTTATGTCGTTCTCTTCCGTTCTTCTTCCTTCTTCGTTCTTCCTTCTCTTTAACTTTTGTCCATAACTCGATGGTTGAGCCACTATATCGTCGAATTTGGGCCCAAAAATTTTGCAGCCGAGGCGTTGAGAAATCGGTAATGTTACGAACAATGGACTGACACCTTACCACGCAAAATTCATTGAGAAAATTGCGACAAAAAAATATGAACGAAAAAAATAAAAATATGAGCAGAAAATGGCTTAGGATGATACATTACTTGTTATGAAACAGTAAATTTAGAGGAAAAAGTTCAGTTCAAAAAATAGCCGACATAGCTCTTTTGAATGGTGTATGAGTGAAGTTTAACATGGTATCAGCAAAACATTCCGTTTGGAAGAAAGCATTACTTATGGAACAGCCTAACACAGGTCAGTGTTTTTGAGTTGGTGCAGTTATTCGACCTCGCGGATGGAAGGCCTGGTTGGGTTGAACGGATTGAGCGCATTTTTATGCACCCACTTTCACTCTGGCACTCCCATTCACCTAACGCTAACAAGCAGGGTCAAGCCATCCGTCGAGGGGAATTCGGAAATACGACCCCCCCCCCCCTCCCCTCCTACCTCTCCCCCAGAGGCCGAAGTCCATGAAACAGTCCCCTTCAAAAGCCGAACTATGAAAAGGTTGTTTAATTCTCTCCCAGAACTGCTCATAAAAAAGCCCTGTTACCCCACCGTCCACAAAAACATTCGTTTAAGAAGTACAAAGCTGAAAAAGTCAAAGAGTGGTCATCATTATGAATCCTATCAAACGAGCAAACGAGAAAAGGAGCTGAAAACGACAAACTGGTTACTAAAAATAGCACACTATGACAATCTTCTTTATTTATTTCCTTCGGAAGACCTACCAAATTTTTGTGCTACACGGAGTATGGTTCCCAATTTACACGTCCCCCTTTCGGTTGGAAAATCCTAGTAGTCGCCTCAGCCAGCTGTGTTTTGACTGGTATTTTGCGTTAGCCATGGAGCAGCTTATCTACTATGAAATTTGAACAAATATGCAAATGATTATAACTTTCTTCAAATATGACGAATTTTCAATCTATATAGCAGATTTGGGAGTTCTGTTAAGAGTTCTTTCTAATCAGTGTTAAAATTACAAAAAATTATAAGGAATAACAAAGTTAGATTAATTAACGAGGAAAATTCGGGATGACCACGAGTTTTTACACTTTCCGAAGCCATAACTTGCTTCTTTTTCAACATCTCCGGAAAGTTAATACGTCAGACAAAACTGGAAGATTTTTCTATCAAACCATTACTAGAGCAGCTTTATACGTCTAGTATCAAAAAAATGGCCACGTCGAGGACTTCTGCAAAATTAACGAGGAAATTCGTGATGTGTGCGAGTTTTTTCACTTCCCAAAGTCATAACTCCGTTCAAACTCATCCTATTCGAAAAGTTAATAATTCATCACAAACCAGAAGATTTGCTCTATCAAATGCTAGCTAGAACTGCTCCAAACGTCCAGTATTAAAAAACGGCTACGTTGAGGATTTTTGCACGAGTACCGCAGAAAGATACTTTTTCGCTGCAATGGCACTATTTCAACGACAATAGATCCTTCCAAGGGCAATTCTATACTAAAGTAAGAGCAGATTCGGAGTCCTTGTGCTTTTCTCTCCCCAGGAATTGTAAATTCGTTTAGCGTTTCTCAACTTTAAAGGTTACATCTTTATGAATTTGACTGAAGACTGCGTGAATGCGTTGTCGAATGGTGTACCTCCCTGTGATTGCGCACGGACACTTTCAGAATCCTCTCAATTTTTCATGAATTGAGATTTTTTGTCCAAAGAGCCACAGTTGAAGCGCGTGCAACAACTGGACCCACTCTGGGATGCGCCGTGTACCCTTCAGATTGTATCATTGTCAATATCATTATCACTGGAACTCCTCTGGCCTTCCATGGCATCGTCTCAATCCTTGGTTTTGTCCGACGGTGATGATCCTACTGCATCAATCCGACCGATCTCTTCCTCTCGGCCAATGCGACCCTCCCCCCACCAGTGACGTGTCGAGGATTCCTGCGCACGCTTGACCCTGCTAACAAGGGCGGGCGTGCTATTGATCAGAATGGGTGGTCTTGAGCAGGGTGAAAATCGTTTCGAGGACGCGGTCCAGAAGTACGACCTCCCTGAAATCGAGGTATTGGCAGACCCCATCAAAACACAGCATACGCAATTACTTCAATTGATTAATCAAAAAAAATTCCTGCAGAATAAAATATCAGGTTGGAAAGAAAGTACTTAAACACTCAAATCGCGCTCTTTCTGGATTTCTCCTGAATGCACTAGAATCTTCCATGAGTTGTATATAGTAGGAGCAGACTGTGCTGCGTACGGTGCTCAAATTAGCTTTCCCAATAATTGCGTTTGCATCGCACTAAATCAACTTTTCCCGCGAAATACTCCGAGCGCTCATCTTATGCGTACCTCACCTGGAGACATCAGCTCACGAGAGGTGCTCAGAATCTGTCCAGTGATAGAGTGGGGCGTAGTCTCTCAAGTGGCACCTTCATTACGGTTTGAACGCTACGCAGCGGAAACTTTGATCCCTCTAGATTTGCTGCTATCAGGCTACATTGGAATTGCTATGAAAGCTTTTCATTCAAATAGATGAGTCTGATCATTCGAAATGATATACAGGGGCGGTCAAAGAAAGACACTTCGCTCATAAAGTATATCACCGAGCTTTAACTCGTAAAGGTTGACGTGGTCGATGAGACAGAGAGACACAGCGCTGTGAGCAGAGGGAACACGCGAGAACACTTGCGTGAGAGTGCTCAGAAGCCACGCGTGCTGCGGTCGATAGTAATGCCAACGGACGCAGCGGCCAATCGAAAGCATCAGATCCTCATCACGTTCCTTCAAGTCTAGGTTTAAAGGGATTTTTTTAGGTTTTCTGAGGTTGAGTCAACGTAGCGGCGAGTATCCAGGCCATTTATAATCATGACAAACATTTTCATTCTCACATCAACCCAACTGAGTTATGACATCGTTCCTTTCTTGCAAAGCAAAGTGATTCACCCCGAGATTGTTCACTCTTCAAAACAGAGCAGATTACCGATGGCGGGATGAACTACCCGCGCAAAGACAGTATCATTTCCTGCGTGGTGCGTCTATCACGAGTGTAGCGCCCCATCTTTTTGACCTGCACTAATGTAGTCCCACTGTCACCATTGCTTGACGCAGTACCGCCAAACACGAATTCCAGGCACACTTAACCGATAGCTGGTCCGTTCAAAATTTTCCGACTCTTATTTACTTAGTCTCGATATGACCCCCCCCCCTCCCAGTTCGTCCACCCCTCTTCGTAAGACTCACTGTGTGTTAGATACATGTGCACAAATGCAAACGACGCGGCTAGGAAGCGTCTTTACCATTGACGGACGCTATCCTTCTCTCATCTCTTCAAGAGACCGACACGGAGTACTAGCATTTCAATAAGTCTGACTCTCTTAGAAGTTCGCTTCAAAAGTGTAGTATGTGGGGAACTAGAGGCTCATATCTTCGAATCGGCCATTAATCGGTAAGAACAAACCCAACTATACCTTAAAAATGTTCACAGTTACTGTACAACAAGTTCCCCTTTCCGCGCACCTAGTGGTAAAATTCAACAACCTTAATTCTTTCATCTCTATTGCAAATTATTTATTAACGAGAATATTTCAACTGCGGCACAAAAAAAGTCG